CCGCTGGCGAGAGTCTAGCTGCTACACCACGGCGGCTCCCAATAATAGTATACTGAGCGGTAAAAAAATATATAATGCCTTTGAAATAACATGAAATGTGTAATGAAATACTTCTTACTATCTTACCAGGTTATGTTAGGCAGATGTGGTCAAGGCCCTTTGGGAACAAGCAACGGAATCAGTAGAGATAGAAGATTATTATGGCCTGGAGAGAATGAGGCATCTGGGTGTAACCTGAGGGTCTGTCCGGCTAACTACACTCAGAGGAAAGGCAGGACGGACATATAGCCAGATTGTGAACGGTACCACCAGTACTTAAACTCTGCGCTGTCTGCTGAAGATGAGGACAGAGCATGTATGGGGATTTTCCCCGAGTGCTGTGATGTCAATTCTTGACTCAACTTAACTCAACTACCCGCTAAGACTGAAGGTTTGACCTGACTGGTAGATCCATAACCGATGCCCTAATTCTAACTTCCTTTTAGGTTAAACGGGGTGTTTGGGATCTGCTACACTGGTCTGCTTTTGAGATCGATGTTTTAATTAGGGCTGTACCGAATAGTGATATTCACTATTTGGCCGAATACGAATAGCTGGACCAACTATTCGGCCGAATACGAATACGAATAGTGAACCATCATCATCAGGTGCATTGCCGACTGGCATGGGCGATTAGGCCTTGCCACAATCTGAGATCTCCTGCAGCATGTATTAGTTCGTGTGTTGAAACACCTCCATGCCATGCAACAAGACTGTCAAGAATCTTCTCTCGTTGTCTTCCTCTATCCCTCCTTCCTCAGATCTTTCCAGTGGTTACCACATGTTTCATTTTCCCTCATCTTATAACATGGCCGAAAAATTATGACTGTCTCTTTCTGATGTCTGTGAGTAGTTGTCTTCGGGCTGCCGCCTTTTTAAAACCTCTTGGTTGCTTTTTTTCTGGCTGTCCAAGGTATTTTAAACATTGTTCTGTAAAACCACATCTAGGAGACCTCAAGAAATTGTTTGGCCTGCCTACCGATTGTCCAGGACTCACAGCCATATGTTAAAACTGGATGTGTGTAGCAAGCAAAAAAGCATTAGCTTTAAAAAAAAAAAGAAAACACAATCGTTCCATGTTGTCAGCATTAAGGCAGCTTCTTGTCTCACTGAACGTATTTCCAGCTGTGTTAAACAGACGTTCACTTGGTACGCTCGTAGGTGGTGCACAAAGTAACGCTTGACAGTATGAACCAAGGTGGGAAATCTTGATATGTTCATTTTCCACCAGTCCAGAAACGGGTGTAAGGTAACCACTATTCGTATTCAGCCTGACCGCAACTATTCGGCCGAATACCGAATAGTTATTAGGTCCACTATTCGGCCCCGAAGAGAATACGAAGCGAATATTCGGTACAGCCCTAGTTTTAATCTCAGTATGGTATGTAAAACATTTAATTAGGTGCCCGGAGAGAACAAACCGATCGATCAAACAAATACTTCTACACATAATTTCCACGCATGGTTAAAAACAGCTACTTAACCTCCTTGCAAGTGTGCGGGAAGGGGGGGGGGTGGGTCTTCTAAAAATTAGTGGCCTGTGGAAGGGGGAGGTGCAACTCACCTAAGCCGCCAGCTTCCGACACCTCTGCCTAGAACTAGATAAAGGAAATAGAGATTGTGAGCAACACTGTGTTACAAGTGCCAAAAGTGGACATTAGCAACAAGGGAGAGAGAGAGAGAGAGAGAGAGAGAGAGAGAGAGAGAGAGAGAGAGAGAGAGAGAGACTCAAAAGAACAGAAATGTAATTTGAAAAGACAGGATCAGAAATAAGGATATCAGGAAAGAAACTGGGACGGAACCAGTACTAAACTGTATCAAGTCTTCCCCCAGACAGCGCCCCACAGAGAGCCCCGTCGCCAAGACTTAATGGAAGCAGACCAGAGGTCGACCACGAAAACGATGGATAGATGGAGTATCAGATGGAAGCCATAAATACCAGCATCTACGATTAACAGATCCCAATGCTGGCACCAGATGCCTCTTCAAAGCCTGACCCTCTCAGACAGAACAGGACTAGAGAAGAATAACAAGTACACGAGATAACCTCATCTGCTGGTTGTATTGTCATTGTTATGAGTTGGCAAGTGCGAATCTCATACACACTGTCAGAATGTTTGCTGTTTGTTCAACTCTTGTTATCCTTCTCCTTGTATTGATATGTAGCTCCTACTTTAACTTTTGATGCGACTGTGGCTATACATAGGAGTGTTTATAAGAATTCTGTAGAAGACAGAAGGGCCTGCGTGGTCTCGAGGCATGGTGTCCGCCTCGAGTGCTAGAGGTTCCAGGTTCAATCCCCGGTAAGGGCTGGGATTTTGTCACGTGGGCTTGGACTTCTAGTAATTTCCTGGTCTCTGGGTAGTGAGATCGGACGCCCGTGTGCATTGTTGTGCACATAAAAAATCCTATGGTAGCTGGAAATCGAAAAATGCAGCCTAACGGCTCTGCCCGAGCAAAATTTGGAGTTGAAAATCTACTCAGAGTATTTCAGGATCCTCGCCGGTGCTACAGAGCCTGTGCACTGGGCCGAGCTTTTTCGGACTCAGACTAGAGTTAGAAGAAGAACGGAGAACTTATGGGTTCCCCAACCACCGTGTGCCATGATGTTGGTCCGTTGTTCAAATTTTAAACTTGTAGAAGACTGTTGCACACTGTGTCAGAGCTTTGCTCGTCCGTGTTTTGTTGTTAACTTTCCGCATGTACTGGTGTCTACTTCTGGCTACAACGCCTTTCTCCGGTGTTGTTCTGGAAAAAGTGTTCAATTAGAAATCAGAAGGTGGTGGTGAGCTGCAACAGGGGAGTTAAGCGGCATAAATAACCTAAGGCACAACACGTGCAAACAGAAATTAATGTAAACATTCTAAGAGCATGCATTTTCCCCTGGTAGCGCACGGTTGTGAATCAAAGAACTATTTCACGATCAATAACGGTAGAAAATTGAAGCATTTAAATGTGACTGTTATCCTCGTTTGGAGTCGGGGGAGGGGGAGGAGAGACTAGACCCACAGATATATCGTTAAAAGCGACAAATTAGGGATTGGATGAAACTAAATATTTTTGGCACTGCGGCGCAGATAATCAGCCTAACTGTAAACCACAATAGAATATGCCAACCATTGTGTGAGGGTGAACGCTGAAGAGAAAGAAAGGCAAATTATTAGAAGTCTTAGTCGAGCTTTCAACTTCATTACATTCGGGTCACCCCATCCATACTTGCTCCGCACCTGTGCCAGTGAAAATTAGCTGAAATGTCCCTCACTGTCGCATTTGAAAAATACTTGTGAACAAGCGTCGGCTCTGTGGCTAAGTTGATGCGAACGCTTCGTAATGCCGGTATACCTGGTTCGATCCCAGCTGCGGGCCATGCGCTTTGCGTTGGTTTCGACAGTGGTATCAAGAAAACCGACCGTTCAGAAGGCAGTGGCAAACTAATGGACGTAAATTTGCCTAGAAAAACCACACAACAGCCAGGGACTGTTGGGGTTGGTTCTGCAACGTCCTGTAAAGGATAAGCAACTAACCTTTTTTTGTGAACAAACAATTAGTCCCGCAACAATCCAGAAATTTGCGCACCCTGTAAATGCATATGGCAGTTGCTAGAGGCGCCAACGCCAATAATCGCCACCAGAAACAGTTTGTCGTTGATGGAAGTAGATAGGCACGATAAGCTGGCTATACACACACGTAGAATTATTAAATAAGGTATTTCACCAGCCCCCGTGTAAACCGGCTACCGAACAAATTGAATACCACGCCACGACTCAACCACTGAACAAATTGAAGGCATTCCACATAAAAACCCTGCTCACAGGGCTGCACCAAGCACTAAACGCAGTAGCTCAGGCAGCGAAACCGTATACTGTCCATGCGTGGAAACTTCAATACATAGAACCTAAACTCCGTGATCCTCGCCCCTTAAAAATTATGATGGGAATGCAACCCCCCCCCCCTCCCCTCCCCTCCTTTCTCCCTTTCCCCTCATGTCCCCTCCCCCCAACCCCTTTCCGACAAAACACACACACACACACACACACACACAAACACACATATTCTTGATGGTGGTTTGCCTTGTAAATTATTAACCCAAGAGGCCCGTTATGAGTTGAGGATCGGCTAAATAGCACTTGGAACGTTCAAATGTGCGTTACGTCCTTGTCTTCAGCAGCAAGCGCAGAGCTCCAGTTCCGATGACACCAGCAACAATCTGATTGAATGTCCCTCTTACCCCTCCCCTGAGTGTTGAGCGTCGGCCATATTCCCTGGTCACTGCTTTGTGTACTGTTCTATGCAGACCGTGTTGATCTGTGTGTGCTTTCGCACTGTTTACTCGCTTCTAAGGGACTCTTAGATCATGTGGCTTTCCATGCATCAGTTAACCACTAAGTGATGAACAACCAGCCAATCTATCTGCCTGTTAATTTCCCGACACACCGGCCTTAACCTGGAGATATGTCCAAATCACTTTAACTACATGGGACCTCTAAAGCGATACTTGCCACTCTTCATGGAACATACATGTCTCCACCTTTCTCAACATGTTCTGTGAGTTACAATTACGACATGTCCGTGTAACTGGGTCTCAAGCCAGCGAAAGGTTGCAGTGACCGCCTCAACCTCTATTCTAAAACTAGATGTCAGGTACCATATTCCAGACCTTGTTGCACTAAACAACGACCATTTACTTTGGCTATAAACGCCTAAACAAGACCCAAAGAGTGAAAGAAAAAGCATTCTCTTTTACCCATCACACAGGCGCGCACCAGTGTGCACTGCTACTGTAAACACAACAACAACATAACAACAGAATAAAAGCGGATATAAATATACAAGGTTGTCTTTCATTTCACAAAGATGCGCTCAATTCTCATGTCTTTTTGTTTATTTCATAAAAAAGGTTTATTGTTTACCCGAAAACTGGAAATGATGGTTCAAAATTGTTAGTTCATTTCAATTTAGAGATGGATGGGCGGGACGATGAAAGCGATAAAGGGTAAGATCAATTAATCAGTATTTGAATAATTGAATGTGAATTTCAAACAACAAAAAAGCGGCTCTCCTTTGAATCAACCCCCAAAATGGCGGCATGCCACATTCTGGCCATAAAATATCCAAATATATCCGAACGACGGTGTTCGCGTATATAAAAAATACGGACTTTCTGCCAAGGAACAAATCGCGGCAAAACTAGGATTACTTGACAATATGAACATTGCCAGACGATAGGAGCAGACGATAATTTTGAGCGTTTCTGCAGACGATACTAGCAGACGATAAAAGCGACCGTTGACAATTTCGAGACAATACAGACGATACCGACAGCGATATGACAGCATGCACAAAACGCGGCATTGGGGACTAAACTAGGTGCCTGGGACTCACGAGTACAGTAATTGGAGGAAGTTGCAGGAGATGCGGTAGCTGCCGCTCGTGAGTCCAAGCCATCTAGTTTAGTCCCCATCCGCTCGGCGGTGAGGCACACTCGCAGAAGCAGGTCGGCAAGTAACGTATCGCCGAGAGCCTGTCAGAGCATTTGTTTCGTTTTTCGGAGCCAGCACATATATTTTTAATAGAACTGACCCGCATTCGGACATTTTTGGATATTCTATGGCAAGAAATTGGCCAAATCAGCTCTCTTTCGAGCGCCATCATATTAAAGCCGCCATTTTGGGGGTTGATTCAAAGGAGAGCCGTATTTTCTTCCTCAGCCAAGTGCCTAGGAAGCTGTAAGCAATGTCTGCTCTTTAAAATTTTGTCTTTTCTGCAGAAACCTCTTATCTTCATCAGTGAAGTGCCTGACAAGATGTAAGCACTTTCTGTTTTCTCTCTTTAAAATCTGTTATCTAATCTGCTATTCATGTCTCTACTTGTTTTTCTCCTTTCTGCTATGTCTGATGTAACTAAAAGTTGAAATAAGAATTGACATCATAGCACTCATGACACTCCCATAATCGCCCCGTCCCCAGTTTCAGCAGCAAGCTCAAAGTTCTAATTCCGATGGTAACTGTCTGATTTGAAGGAATGGAGCAGGACTGTTGGGACAGCATGCGTCGTATATGGAAAATAACTCTGTGCAATGAACTGATTCTCTCGACTTTAACTTAAAATGTGTTAAATAAAGCAACAGCTTGGGGACAATATGTTAAAAAAATACATGCGTTAAAATAGGCCCTCATTTTTGCAGTGTCTATGGCTTTGTTTTAAATAACTATCTAATCAGAGTCAGTTAAACATGTAACGGGGAAAAGGGGGGGGGGGGCATAGGAAATTACCACGGGGGACGAGTAGTGACTCCCACATAATTAGGTCTTCACTTATTGTCAAGTTCTTGGTTTGTGTTTGGCTAATCCCCCCCCCCCCCCCGCCCGCTTTGTTTTCTCTGTGTCTGCGCCCCTGGATTGACATGGTAATTGTCATTTCGGACAGAATCTATTTGAAGGGTTGCTATTATTATTATTGCGCACTCAAACTATGCTTGCATGTTGAATTAAGAATCGACATCACAGCACTCGCGACACTTTCCTTTCTCATCTTCAGCAGCAAGCAAAGAGTTCCAGTTCTGATGGTACCAGTAACTGTCTGATTGTACATCCGTCTCGCTTTTTCCTGAGAGTTGAGCGTCGGCTAGATCCCCTGGTAACTCCTGGCAGTGCCATTCTCCTCAGACCGTAATGGTCCGTTTATGCCTACGCACTGTTCACTCGCTTCCAAAGGGCCTTCACAGCATCTAGCTTGTCATACATCAATTCACCATCAAGTGGGGCAGAACCGACCAGGCTATCTGCCTGCTTAACCATGCTTAAGCCCGTCTTGCCTCTGGCTCCCTAGAAAATGTCTAAAGGGTCTCCCAATGTTTTCTTTGTGTTGGCGCCCCTTAGCAATCTGGTTCTTGCCAAAACTATCCACTAGGGATGGAATTTATATCAAGGTTTAAAAACTATCAGAACACTATACTGATTCAAGAGCTTGTGTGTGCGACATGTAGGCGCCATATCATTGGCCATGTTTGAGTAGAAGCGCTGCACTTTACGTTCTAATGTTTTATCTGTACATGCGACTCTCGTAACTCTTTCTTTCTTTCTTTCTTTCTTTCTTTCTTTCTTTCTTTCTTTCTTTCTTTCTTTCTTTCTTTCTTTCTTTCTTTCTTTCTTTCTTTCTTTCTTTCTTTCTTTCTTTCTTTCTTTCTTCTTTCTTTCTTTCTTTCTTTCTTTTCTTTCTTTTCTTTCTTTCTTTCTTTCTTTCTTTCTTTCTTTCTTTCTTTCTTTCTTTCTTTCTTTCTTTCTTTCTTTCTTTCTTTCTTTCTTTCTTTCTTTCTTTCTTTCTTTCTTTCTTTCTTTCTTTCTTTCTTTCTTTCTTTCTTTCTTTCTTTCTTTCTTTCTTTCTTTCTTTCTTTCTTTCTTTCTTTCTTTCTTTCTTTCTTTCTTTCTTTCTCTTTCTTTCATTTCTTTCTTTCTGTCTGTCTGTCTGTCTGTCTGTCTGTCTGTCTGTCTGTCTGTCTGTCTGTCTGTCTGTCTGTCTGTCTGTCTGTCTGTCTGTCTGTCTGTCTGTCTGTCTGTCTGTCTGTCTGTCTGTCTGTTTGTCTGTCTGTCTGTCTGTCTGTCTGTCTGTCTGTCTGTCTGTCTGTCTGTCTGTCTGTCTGTCTGTCTGTCTGTCTGTCTTTTTCTATCTTTTTTTCTTTCTTTCATCCTTTATCCCACTTTCTTCCATCCTATTCCATTTTCTTAGCCTTTCCTCTTTATGTCTGTCTCTCTGCCTCTCTCTCTCTCTCTCTCTGACTGTCCCTCCCTCTCTCTCTCTCTCTCTCTCTCTCTCTCTCTCTCTCTCTCTTCTCTCTCTCGTGTCACATACATTATTTATATTCCCATATAGAAATAATCAGTTATTAAATACTTTTTGATTAATTAATTATCTATAATATACGTAGAATTTGTCAAAAAAGCTCTTTAGACTCAGAAAGTCATAAATCTCCGACGTCTTTACAATACGTTCATTTAGATTTTCTTCTCGAATGTGTTGGCTGCACTAATTATTATTATCATCATCATTGTCATCAAGATCAGCGAGTGCTTTGCCCACTGGCGTTGGTGATCATATGTCTTCAGATCTTGTGATGTCATATAGGATATATCACTTCGTAGGCTTACACAATTACATAACTAAAGTTTGCTGAAATTTTTCCCGCATTGTCTTCATTTAGCCTTCTGTGTGAAAGATGGGTGTTTGGAAGGACCGAATGTAAGACGGGCCTGCTTCCCCAATTTGTCACCCTTTGAAAAAAAAAGTTCGTTCGTTCGTCCGTTCGTTTCTTTCTATCCCCATTTCCTGATATATTCATCAAACCTTTAGAGCGCGCGAACAATACATAACCTTCTTTCTTTTTCTTGTGTCCTACGGCTCACGCCAAAAGCGTCGCAGAAGGGAGTTACCTAGCAATAATCATCTGGTTCATTATTCCCTCCTCTAACCTCCACTCCCCCCTCCCAACCCAAATTCCTCTAACATACGTGGTTCTGATTTCAGCAGAGGGGAGATAGATGACCACACATAATCTGGTTCATTATCTTCCATTCCTCCAGTATACGTTGTTCTGATTTCAGCAGAGCGGAGATAGATGACCACACATAATCTGGTTCAGTATCTTCCATTCCTCCAGTATACGTTGTTCTGATTTCAGCAGAGGGGAGTTAGATGACCACACATAATCTGGTTCATTATCTTCCATTCCTCGAGTATACGTTGGTTTTTTTTTTAATTTCAGCAGACAGCATTTAGGGAGTTGGATATAGAACATTTCATCATCTGGTTTATTCACCCATTCCACTAACATACGTAGTTCTGGTTTCAGCACAGAGGATTTAGAAAGTTGGATAAAGAACAGTACATCATCTAGTTCATTCCCTCTTCCCCACCGCTCCCCCTTTCCTGTAACATACGTGGTTCTGATTTCAGCAGAGAGGAGTGAGGGAGTTAGATAGAGAACAGCACATCATCTGGTTCATTCCCTCTTCCCCCCCCCTCCCCCTATTCCTTGAACATACGTTGATTCTGATTTCAGCAGAGAGATGTTAGAAAACAGTGCATCCTCTAGTTTATTATCTTCCCATTCCTCTAACATGCGAGGTTCTGGTTTCAGCAGAGAGTAGTCAGGGAATTAGATAGAACAGCACATCATCTGGTTCACCCCCCCCCCCCCTCCCCCAAATCCCCTTTTTTTCCCTAAAACATACGTGATTCTGATTTCTGCAGAGAGGTGTTAGATATTATCGCCCCATTCCTCTAACATTCTTAACTCTGGTTTCAGCAGAGAAGTGTTAGATATTATCTCTCCATTCCTCTAACATTCCTAACTCTGGTTTCAGCAGAGAGGCGTTAGATATTATCTCTCCATTCCTCTAACATTCTTAACACTGGTTTCAGCAGAGAGGTGTTAGATATTATCTCTCCATTCCTCTAACATTCTTAACTCTGGTTTCAGCAGAGAGGTGTTAGATATTATCTCTCCATTCCTCTAACATTCCTAATGTCGTGGAGAGAACAGCCAACCCTACAGGATGGACGAGTCGTGACGCTGACTTCCTAGCGGGCACGTCATATTTCAAACAAACCCGTCAGGAGGGGTATATAGTCCCTTATATTGATATATACCTTTATCTGGTGAAATATTCATTTCTAGACCCTCTAGTTGCTTTGAGAAATCTTCATTCTCAAGCTTGCAACTGTGCGCTGAAGATTTATGGTGTTTAATTCCGAAATTCCTGTAAGCCTGTTTACTCCTTGGGCATGAATACAGGGACTTCTTTCCTAGAGACGCCAAGCGTAGTTTTGAGCGGCTTTCTTTCGCCTGGTCTCCAAAGTGTCAAGACGTGTATACAGTCTATGAAAAAAATTGGCGCATTCAAAGAACCAGTTCTATCTTTGAAGAAACCCTAAGCTTGGGATGATACCTCCTTAGAGATCAGGCAGAGGAATCACAGTCTAGCCAACAACCACCAACCCATACTATTCTGGGCACCAAGTATACCCAAAAGTCCTACCTATTGTTGCCACTACGAGCTTGTTTGTGAGTTCCAGGACTAGTGGGCAATTGCAGATACCTATGTCATTAATCCAGATATTCAGTCTTCAAGAGCTTTGTTGGGCTCTTGTGCAGTTCCTGTGTCCCCACCTGCGAAACTATCAGCGGGCACCACAGTCTTCAAGAGCTTTGTAAGGTTCCTACGCAGTTCCTGTGTCCTCACCTGTGAGACAGTCAGCTTGTACCAGATTAAATCGAGGCATAGCTACCTATTGAGTAAATCACAGTCAAATCACCATGGACAGAGGCGAGCATTGACCTACGAACTGGGATAAGTGATCTCTTATTCATATACATGCTCTCTTCCCACAGCTCCTTGTGATTCCTATGATGAACTCATGTAATATCCAAGAACTACATCTGGCTGCTTCAACATCTGGGTTGTGTCATTGATTCCTGAACTCCATTCACTGAACACTCTTGATTATCTACTCATTTATATTTGTATTTATAGTGAACTTATTACATGCAAAAATTTCCATGGCTGACTTGGGTGTCCCTGTTTCTAACTGTCTAGCTTTTATGTTTGTGTGAGTAATAAGTGTAATCTGTGTTAACATGGCTATGATAGTATACTATTATAACCTGGTTAAAGTAGTGGGGGTGTCCAGCCAAGTGTGCCTAGGAATAATATATATTTTGTAGTGCCAAGCTTGAGTTGCCCTACTCCTGAAATAAGTTGAGCGTATATTGGCCATGGCATATCCCATAGACCAATACGAGCCAACGACTCAACATTATTATTTCAGAGTGCTGTTGGTTCTTAAGGAGAAATCCTTAAATCAGGCACGTGACAGGAGCGGTATGTGACACCTAACTCTGGTTTCAGCAGAGAGGTGTTAGATATTATCTCTCCATTCCTCTAACGTTCTTAACTCTGGTTTCAGCAGAGAGGTGTTAGATATTATCTCTCCATTCCTCTAACATTCTTAACTCTGGTTTCAGCAGAGAGGTGTTAGATATTATCTCTCCATTCCTCTAACATTCCTAACTCTGGTTTCAGAAGAGAGGTGTTAAATAACAGTGCATCATCTGGTCCATTATCTCTCCATTCCTCTAACATTCCTAACTCTGGTTTCAGAAGAGAGGTGTTAAATAACAGCACATAATCTGGTTCATTATCTCCCCATTCCTCTAACATTCTTGAATCTGGTTTCAACAGAGAGGACGAGGAAGACAGTGATGACGCACAGGCTGAAGTAGACAAAAGAGTGGCTCAGATGCTAAAGAATCAACAGCAATACCTCCACATGTGTAGTTCCTCCGCTCAAATCCTGCAGTTTTTGTCCCATCTAGTGCCAGGTCTGTCTTATATCTGCATACGTTCGTAATCCCGAACAGGAAATCTACATTTTTGTAGAGTAATAAAAGCATACATTAAGTATAACAATTAAAAGTCTACATTCCTATGATAAAGACAAAGCCTACATTTTGTAACTAAACGAGAAGCTTATAAATGGATTAAAAAATAGACACTATAATATATATATATATATATATATATATATATATATATATATATATATATATATATATATATATATATATATATATATATATATATATATATTATATTTCTAATAAGATACATATTGTATTAAGATACATACATTATTTAGATAAACTAGAAACCAACATTCTTTAGATAAACTAAAAACCAACATTCCATCGATGACACAGTAAACAACAGGTCATAGAAAAATATGAAACCTATATTACATAGATAAACAAGAAACCAATATTCCAAATAAGAACGGGACATCAAACATTCCATAGACGAACTAGAAACAAATATTACATATATCAACAAGAAATCAACTTTCCATAGAGGAACTAGAAACAAATATTACATATATCAACAAGAAATCAACTTTCCATAGAGGAACTAGAAACAATTATTCCAGATATAAACTGAAAACCAATTAGTATAAGAGCTAAAAACTTTATTATTAAATGACATTAGAAACCCATTATAGATAAATACTCTTTGTAGAATCTATCTATCTATCTATCTATCTATCTATCTATCTATCTATCTATCTATCTATCTATCTATCTATCTATCTATCTATCTATCTATCTATCTATCTATCTATCTATCTATCTATCTATCTATCTATCTATCTATCTATCTATCTATCTATCTATCTATCTATCTATCTATCTATCTATCTATCTATCTATCTATCTATCTATCTATCTATCTATCTATCTATCTATCTATCTATCTATCTATCTATCTATCTATCTATCTATCTATCTATCTATCTATCTATCTATCTATCTATCTATCTATCTATCTATCTATCTATCTATCTATCTATCTATCTATCTATCTATCTATCTATCTATCTATCTATCTATCTATCTATCTATCTATCTATCTATCTATCTATCTATCTATCTATCTATCCATCCATCCATCCATCCATCCATCCATCCATCCATCTATCTATCTATCTATCTATCTATCTATCTATCTATCTATCTATCTATCTATCTATCTATCTATTTTTTCTATCTATCTATCTATCTATCTATCTATCTATCTATCTATCTATCTATCTATCTATCTATCTATCTATCCTATCTATCTATCTATCTATCTATCTATCTATCTATCTATCTATCTATCTATCTATCTATCTATCTATCTATCTATCTATCTATCTATCTATCTATCTCTCTCTTTCTCTATCTATCTCTCTCTATCTATCTCTCTATCTCTCTATCTCTCTATCTCTCTATCTATCTATCTATCTATCTATCTATCTATCTATCTATCTATCTATCTATCTATCTATCTATCTATCTATCTATCTATCTATCTATCTATCTATCTATCTATCTATCTATCTATCTATCTATCTATCTATCTATCTATCTATCTATCTATCTATCTATCTATCTATCTATCTATCTATCTATCTATCTATCTATCTATCTATCTATCTATCTATCTATCTATCTATCTATCTATCTATCGATCTATCTATCTATCGATCTATCTATCTATCGATCTATCTATCTATCGATCTATCTATCTATCTATCTATCTATCTATCTATCTATCTATCTATCTATCTATCTATCTATCTATCTGTCTATCTGTCTATCTATCTATCTGTCTATCTATCTATCTATCTATCTATCTATCTATCTATCTATCTATCTATCTATCTATCTATCTATCTATCTATCTATCTATCTATCTATCTATCTATCTATCTATCTATCTATCTATCTATCTATCTATCTATCTATCTATCTATCTATCTATCTATCTAATCTATCTAATCTATCTATCTATCTAATCTATCTATCTATCTATCTATCTATCTATCTATCTATCTATCTATCTATCTATCTATCTATCTATCTATCTATCTATCTATCTATCTATCTATCTATCTATCTATCTATCTATCTATCTGTCTGTCTGTCTGTCTGTCTGTCTGTCTGTCTGTCTGTCTGTCTGTCTGTCTGTCTGTCTGTCTGTCTGTCTGTCCGTCTGTCCGTCTGTCCGTCTGTCCGTCTGTCCGTCTGTCCGTCTGTCCGTCTGTCTGTCTGTCTGTCCGTCTGTCTGTCTGTCTGTCTGTCTGTCTGTCTAAACTAATCTGTATTTCTGTCTGTTTTGTCTGCTTGCATGTCTATTTGTCTATATATATCGGTCTGTCGGTTCGTTTGTGTGTCTGGCTGTCCGTTTGTCTTTCTGCGTAGTGTCTGTCTGCAAGACTGTCTGCCTATGGGTCACGCAGACTGTTATCAGAATCAAAGATACATTTGGATTGATATTTTCCTGTCTTCCTTTGAATAGCAATTTCCGGACAAGTGATGGGACTGGAAAGTGTCACAGAAGACAGCGAAGAGGCTTCATCCAGGTCGGACTCCGCATCATCGACACAGTCACCTGCAACCTCAGATGACAACACGGGTATACCGATTGTGAACTTAGCGTTTTGAAACTACATTCAATGCAGACATATATTTTCCTTGCAAGTTGCATGACTCGTTCATCACGTATAGTCAATGCAGACACATATTTCGCTTGCAAGTTGCATGACTCATTCATAACGTATAGTCAGTGCAGGCAAAAATTTCGCTTGCATGTCACATGACTCATTTATCACGTATATTCAATGCAGACAAATATTTCGCTTGCATGTTACATGACTCATTTATCACGTATAGTCAATAATTTTGTTTTACTCTAATCTATCCTGGCTTTAGCGCCGTGGTCTAGCGGCTTGCTGCTCGCCTGCGGATTCAAAGGTCGTGGGTTCCAATCCGAGCGGAGCCGGAAGTGTCTCAAAACCTTTTTTAGCTCACATGTCCTCCAGCCTTAAATTGTACCAGATAAAGTCCTGGGAAGTCAAGGCGGCAAGGGTGATGTTGACCCACATCACCCAGCGAGTGCTGGCTGGTATATTACATATAGGTCTAGTCTACAGGTGCAGTACTGCTGAAGTGTCTTTCTATACTGTCTTTACAGCAGCAGTTACGACTGTAAGTCAAGACCGAAATGAAATGTAAACGTACTATGCTAGCTGTGACACAGAAAGATCGACTTAGGAACGATTATCTGCACAGAACCAATACTGAATTTTAAAGGTAGACAACGAACCAAAGGGTTTGGCCCTGTAACAAGATTGGCATCAGACAGGCCATCACAGAGAGCAATGTTATACAGATACAGCGGTAACAGACCCAGAGGTCGACCACGCAGAACATGGACCGCAGAAATATCAGAGACACTGAAAATAACTTTATACCGAAACCGCCAGAAGGGCCCGTTCCAGAGATCTCTTCCTGCCCCTGACGCTGTTCCATGAATTCCATGAATAGAGAAAAGAAGAAGAAGAAGAAGGGAAAAGATGGATGACCGGGAAATTTTGAGGGTGTGTGGTGGGGGATTGGGGGGAGGTGGGGGGGGAGGGCTGTGAGCCTGATGATTTAGGCTGTATGACTAGTGTAGTCCTCACACACTATCTTCCCGCCCTCTCCCCGCCCCTCTCCCCGCCCCTCCCCCCACCCCGGAAACAACACATCGTAGCCTCCATTTCGGCAGAAATAAAAAAAATATCCTTCACCCAACAAGGATCGAACCCAGGCCTACCGTATGAGAGCTAAGCGATCTAAGTAATATGCCAGTTTGTTTTTTTAGTTGTCACTATTAAATATGTGTGTTTGTGTGTGTATGTGTGTGTGTGTTTGTGTTTGTGTGTGTGTGTGTGTGTGTTTGTATGTTTGTGTTCGTATGTATGTGTGTGCGTATGTGTGTGTATGTGTGTGTATGTGTGTGTGTGTGTTTGGGTGTGTACGTGTGTGTAGGTGTGTGTATGTGTGTGTTTGTGTGTGTGTGTTTGTGTGTGTGTGGTTTTTTTTGTGTGTATGTGTGTGTATGTGTGTTTATGTGTGTGTTTGTGTGTGTGTATGTGTGTATATGTGTGTGTGTGTGTGCATGTATGTGTGTATGTATGTATGTATGTGTGTGTGCATGTATGTGTATGTGTGTGTATGTATGTGTATGTGTGTGTACGTATGTGTATGTGTGTGTGTTTGTGTGTGTGTGTTTGTGTGTGTATGTATGTGTGTGTATGTTCATGGAGGGCAGTATTTACCATTAGGCATACTAAGCACGTGCTTAGGCAACACAGAGAGAGAGGGGACACCACATAAATTATAAATCATCTCGGAGCTGAGCGTCTGTTTTCTCAGAGTCAGAGTGACAAATTCTTAACAAATCCCATCAGACCAACAATTCAACAAGACAGACTAGATGCCTCGCCTCTATTAAGTATTGTTGCATAAGATTAGATTCTGGACATGATAACAGACTTTGCGATTTGGGAGGAAGGGTGGGGGGGAGGAGAACACTTTTCAAATGTAAATAAAGTGGAAGTATTCACACAATTTTTCAGTGCTTAAAGAGAGGGCAGCTGGGGCGGAACCAAAATCTGTTAAATTCTCTAGCAATCAAAGGGTCTGGATCCGGCCCGGTGTGTGTATGTGTGTTTGTGTGTGAGCGTAAATAGGTGCTGTTTTCCGATGTGGACGTGATTGGTGTTTACGGAACTGATCATGTGGTACCGGGTCCTTTGCAGAACGTTGTTGTCATCACGGTCCGTCTGCAAGAAAACAAATTCGATCTCTCGCCAGATCTCCCGTGTCATGCACTTTACTAGTCAAGGTGTCAGTTATACCCCGTACCTTGTTATTCCGTGCTGGTCTACCCCTGCCCCTTTCCCGATACCATGCTTAGTGGCGCTCGATTTGGCCAAAATATTTCAGTTTCCGAAACAAGATATTTTTTTATTAGTCATTCTTCCTCGATGTTCGGATCTTTTGAAATGTCAGTATTTCTTTTCTTCTTTATCCATAGTACTCTGATAATCTTTCTATAGCATTTCAGCACACAAGACCCAACGTTCTGACTGACCTACGTTCAACTCTACTAGGATATCACACCGAGCGATAAACACCCGGTGACACAAAGTGCCACCATTCAGATTAGGATCACCCGGGAACAGGCCCCAGAAACCCTTTTCAACCCATGGGTTGGGTAATACTAGGGCCCCTGGCAACAGCCAAGGTGGGGCTTCGAAACAACAACAAAGTGCGTCCCACAACTGAGATGCATTGTATTATTGTTACCCCCTATGTTCTTTTAGGACTGCGAGAAAGTCCACTACTCACATCCTTATGTTGCTACGGAGAAGATGCAGGCTCTCGAAATGTAGACTTTGATTTCCTTGCTGGTGCTTTACTATATACTTTTAATACTGTTTTATCTTTGCACTACCATGTCTTCAAATTTCTGTCGAACTGTCTACGTTGTTGTTTATTATGAAGCCTATGTATTCATAAATGTGTGGCATTTAAAATTGTTTTAAATTTTGAACTCATTAAAACTTAAGTTTATAAAGTACGTAAACATCCTTTTTCACGCCTTTAGGCGCATCGGGCATATGGGAAGAACAACCATATTTTTACAGACCAATAGGCACTAGGCGGGTAATGTGGTCAGCATTACGTCGGCTGTCTTTACTTTCCTAGGGCATACATCCTGGTACCCATTTTAGACTGGGTGGACTTGCGACGCCCCATACCGTGATACAAATCCAGGCGCTGTAAGTTTATAATGCTCAGATAAGCTAGACTGAATAGATTGAATATTATTGGAAGAGCAGTAAACAATCTGAGATATATCTGATGACATACTGTTTCTAGCCGAAAGCCAGCAGGAGTTAACAAGATCTAGTGGATGAAGTCAACAGGCGGAATGCAGAAATGGTTTAACCATTAGCCTTCAAAAAACAAAACCTGTGGCAATTAATAACTGAAAAGAGCGACCAACAGTTAAACTCACAGTTAATAACAGATAAGAGAAGAAGTGAAACAGAAATTAAAAAGAGAACCAGAACGGATAAAACATTCTTCAAAGAGATGTAAAAAAACTATTGACGGCTAGAGAGATAAGCAACACATTAAAATTAGAATTGGCAATTATTATGCTTTCTTAACTCTGTTGTGTTATGCAGAAATTTGGACAATGAATAGGCAGTTATAAAATCGAACTTAGTCTCTAGAGATGTGGATATACAGAAGAATATGTCATATTTTATGGAAGCAAACATAATCAAATACTTAGGTTCTGGAAAGACTACGAATCAAAAGAGAATTACCAAAAGAAATTAAGGGGGAGGAAAGGAGAAGTGAAATATTTTGACTAAATTAAAAGACATAACACGTTTTTAAAAACCATACTGGAGGGAAAGGTGGAAGGCAAAAAAGCAAGATGTAGACAACGATGCAGGTGGGAGGACAAAATCAAGAAATGAGCGAATTGCAGTCTGAGAGTGCACAACCAAGACAAGAGACGAACTGATTGATATGGGGTTAGGACCATATGTTCGATGTACCACTGGCCTAAAAGTGATCCTTTACTTTACTTTATTTGTGTTCTCCTTAAGATAGATGCCTCAGAGCGCTGAGCTTGCATGTGTATGCCCAGTCTGTAAAGTAAGTAAGTAAGTAAAGATCCCTTTTCACGACTTTAAGAGCATCGGACATATGGGAAGAGCACCCATATTTTTACAGACCAATCGGCACTAGGTGGGTAATGTGGTCAGCATTACGCAGGTCGTCTTTACTTCCCCAAGACATACATCTTTGTACCCATTTTAGGCTGCGACACCCCATACCACGATAAAAATCCACGCAGCCAGCAGTGGCTTTCGATCGCGGTACATTGGAGTTACGAGTCGGACTGGCAACACCTAAGCCTCGGACGCCGCTATGCCCAGTCTGGATTGATGTCGATTTTGAAGTCAGTAGTGATGGTGTACGCACTAACAGACACGTCATTGTCCAGGTTCAGGCTGCCTGTTGTGGGCAGAGCCGCTGATGACCTGTCAACTGATGCCATCTTGGAAGCCGTTCTGCGGCGACGTTCGAAGACTTCCCCCTGGCGTCAAGCCGGAAGACATCAAGTCTCAACACATTCCTACATGCAGAGGTTCTAACATCAGCGGTTACCATTCTGCTGTTGCTGCTGCTGCAGCTGCTGCTATTGCTAGAGCCAGATGTCCGCACACCGCAAATAGAAACAGCGGTTTAGGGCTTGGATCAACTTCCAAAGACACCAGTACACACGCCTCTTCCAAGGAAGGTGATCCTAGTGTATCTGCAACAGAACGGCATCGAAGCGAACGGGAAGGTAGGTTCAGTTTTGAGTCTGTTGATGGTGAAGTAAGATACCCTTTTCCACTTCCTGAGACGCACCGGGCGGGAGGCACGACCCCCATCGGTCAGGATTCCGCTGATTTGCTTTCCAAAATATTCTCTTGAACTAATTTTTAGTGTGGATTGATCTAGGAACTCAATTCAACTGACAAAAATTCAGACCTATTATGAAGATGCTACAGTGATCTG